AGACCTGGATAATTGTGGGTTAAAATCTGTACATATTAATTACCTAATTTGCATAATTAACCAATTTTAAGCTTTCACACTGATATCTAAAGTACTAATTATTCCATTTCAATGAAACTTAGTACAAAGATGCTCTAGGACAATGTACAAACCTAATTAGTTTGGGGTAAAAATCTGTTCATATTAATTCCCTAATAAGTATAATAATTCATAATTTTTTGGTTCTAATCATGTTTCAATTAAACTTAGAAACATAGATTTTCTGTTACATTGCGCAGACCTCATTAGTTTTACACTCAAATCTGTTCATATTAATTTTCTGATTTGCATAATTAGTTTCCAGCTAAGTAATTTTGAATTATATTTAATGTGTCTCCAATACTCTCAGCACATGGTTCTTTCTAAGCTTTCTTTGATTATTGTTGTGTTTAATCCAACCATAGTGCTTTTAGGGATTTCATGTCTTGAATAGTTTCAACGCTTTATTTCATTTTCTTCACTAATTTTATAGAAACTTTTAATCCAACTAATATTCTGTGGTCTTTTTAGGCCATAAACATGATCCATATCATTTTGAATTAGGGTATTGTTTATATATTTTGGCCAGTTCCAAGCAAGTTTAGCCTTGTTCTGATATGATTCATGTAGTTTAGAGAAAACTATTTTGGTCCACCTGTTATCATTCATCTTTTGTAATCTGTCCAAATACTGTATTCGCGATTTATCGTGAATAAAGTTGATGTCTTGCCATCCTAAATCTCTCGATATTGCTGTTATCATCGCTTGGGACTCAATTCCCGGGCGTGTGCAGGTGACAACCCTCCCGCTTTAATGTACCCTCACCTATTTCAGCACTTTTAAAGATCTAAACTTATCTAATGATATCGAATGTGGCTGAATATTATTTTTTTTCTAATAAGACGTTGTGTTCTCTTCTTTTATTTTATTAAAGGGTGGCAGTCGAAGCGCCGCGTCCTGTTTGATATGGGACTCATAGCAACGTATACAACGCGTGTAAAATACATTGTTTATTTACATCAAACACGTGCTGTGCGGCGACCACCGCGCTTTAAGCTTTCTTTTTGTCTTCATTTGTATTTTTTCCTGCTATTTTGAATGTATCTGAAACTTTATTGTATTTTAAAAATCTGGAAACAGGGTATGATTTCAATAAAATTATTACTACAATATAGACAATACATGTATTAGAGCCCCCCCCCCCCTCTGGAAAAATTCTAGATCCGCCCCTGCTAAAGATATTTCTAATATCAACAATACAAGTGTACACGATCCAAAACTCTGATCGATGAATCTCAAATGTTTACACGCTGTTCTGAACATGATTTATATTACCAAATGAATAGTCAAAAATTTAGCTAATTGTGGTTATTAAAATACATTTAGTTGTCATTAGGTTAGCACAAGTTAGCAAGTATTAATTAATTGAATGTCAAATAATTTATTTAAAAGTTATTACTACAAAAAACCCTTTAGAATTCAATTGGGATAGGCAACTACAGAATTTCTATTAACAGTGCTCTTTGCATAGTAATTAGGTAACAACAAAAAAATATATTCGAACACACTGTGTATTCGGTATCTTCTGGTAGTTGTACCGTAGCAACAGGTTTGTGGGTATTTTTCCTACAGTGTGGATCACCATATATAAAGGTGTTTACTTTATTATATTCAACAAAAATAGATATCAAATCTGCTGATTGACCAACATTCACATATTTTTTACCATCTCAAAAGTACATTTGTCAAATAATCTATGACTAGTAGATTCACAGACATAAGTAAAAACAGAAAATTGATAAATTAAGGTCATATGACAAATAAAGTTTGCTTTCATTTAGCCATAGTGGGACACAGTTCATGAGAACTTTCTTGTTCTACCAGATAATAAGGCAAAGAAACATGGTTCAACATGCATGCTGATTTCTAGTATTACGTGCCTTAGTTTTTTATCCCTCTCCTGTAGGGTATAAGTTGTAAATACGTTTATAGGTAAATAAAAACGTTGTCAAAATGATGACCAAAATGAGGGGGGGGCAAGGGTTATTTTCGTTCAACGTAATTGCAATATTTTTTTGATCGTACAACGTAAATTAAAAAAATAAATTCCGTAATTCTGTAATCACAGGCTAGACATACCGGTACTACGTAATCAATCAAATATTTTTTTCATGCACTGTAAAAATGTGTCATTTTTCTCGGTACGTACAAGAATTTACATCCAAATAAAAAAAGTCGTACAGAATAATCCAGAGAAATTACATTCTCGAAACTGTAAAACGACTAGATGACACAATTCACTGCAAAATTCAATTTTCACTGTAAAAAGCCCTTTTTATTTTCCGTAAAACTGTACCAGCTAACCCCCCCCCCCCCCCAATGCATTCGCTATTTGGTGGATTATGAATCTACAGGGATTGTAATCAACATGGGTATTCATTCTCATCACTTAACATCAAGTATGTAACTTTTTTTTCCATCCATTGAAACACAGGACAAAGCATACAGTTTTCATTGACGTTATTTAGTTTGAGACATATATTTGATAGAAATCACCACAACATTGTTGCATTACGCAGACTTGGGGAGATTATTTTCTACTTGCCAATGGGCATACAATTATGATTTCTTTTACAAAATATTTCTCTATATTTTGGGACTTCAGAATAATTTTAGTTGTATTATGCACATGTCCATTTTTCATCACTCTCAGACTTTCTCCTTTTCAACAAGTGCGTAAAAATGAAATAAAAATATTAGAAACATGCTTCCCCCATTGGATCCTCGGAAATAATTTAAGTTATATCTACATGTCCCTTTTAGGCAGCGAACAACTAATTTCTTGACTCTCATTAAATAATTAAAACAACATGTTGTTTATGAGGGAAGAAAACTGTAGTTTGCTTTTGAAAATAGACATTATGCAAAATTGGTTATTAGTATGCATGGATTTTAAGCCAGAACTATGTGTATTATCCCAGAGCATATGTATACCAAGTTTCACTGAAATCCGACCAGTGATACATACAGACAGAGTAACTCCAAAGACTTCCACTATGTACATCACAGGTTTTCACTGAAGACTACCAAACAAACTATTAAAGGCAATCAGTACTTCATATCAAAATTTTTATTATACTTTCAAATATACAGAAATTCATCATATTATATAATCCATTACATGGAATGCAATAAAAAAAGTACAATTATTATCACTTAGTGAAATGTGCACTATATACATTTATATACTCCATTACATGGAATGCAGTAAAATTATCACTTGGTGAAATATGCATTATATATATAATATATAAATAAGGCTGAACCAAAAACTGTAATATTAAGAATGTAATATGGACAAAAAAATAATTTTTAAAATGTTCGATACACCACACTGTAGATAAAATAAGATTACGATTCATGAGCTAAAAATGTTGCATTACTCAGATAAAAAAATTAAAAACATTAATACGCATATGCAAAGACTGTATGTATGTACACAAATAACCAGTGCACAAGCGTATTAGAGAATTTAATTATTTTATTGAATGAAAACCCACATGTGGGCTGCATATAGTACCAGAACAGGGTCACGATAAATCTTAGTCTAATTTATTTATCAATTACATTATCAAACATCACAAAAAATTATGTCAATTCTCATCCATATTTAAAGTTTTATTATGCTGCAGAAAAAGACCAGTAAATAAGCAGCGACGCTTTCATCTGTAGTTTGCTACCATTGAAAAAAATATATTCGGAAATCCTCAAAATCCAGCAAGATTGGTTAGGTTACTGTCAGGTTCAAAATTCTGAAATAAAAATATATGGTCACCTAACTAAGTTTTCCACAAAACAAACGTGAAAATTGAACAGTATACCATTGGTTCCTTTGGCAGAAGCATTCCATCATACATGTATCTCAAAATGTAGTGTTATGAGGGCAACAGATGAGAGTCACTAAAAAATGGGAGAATTTGAATACCAGTTATCTGTGGAATAATGTGTTCTATGAAAATGTTCCAAAATGGCCGCTTTTTAGATTATTTTGTATAAGTTTTCTTGAAAACACAGCCTTCTTTCTTCGTGAAAAACATTAAATACAAATGACCTATACAAACAATCATTGAATAATTTATTGTTATCATTTTTTTTTATGTTTAATGGTAGCAAACTACCTGAAATAATGTTTATCTATAAAACACTGCAACACTCTATGAGCATATGAAGGTGATATCAAATGAAGGTAACTCTTACTACCGGAGTGCTTATTCTGCAGTTATCTTGTGATAACCATACTACTTTTACATCTTTTATTGCTCGATAAAAACATTTAATAAAATTGAAGACAGCAGCAAAGATGATAATGCAACAACCCATCTATTAAATTGGGTTAAAAGCTCAAAATTTCATTACAGCTGCTTGTAGTTTCTGAAACCTTGTATGTGGTTATGTAAATTTTTATTGATGCTCAAATTGTACAATATGTAGAGCTGATTCTCTTATTTATATAAGACTATACATTTTTCCAAGTGAGCCATCCTTCATAGCTGTATGCATAACAGTTGAGTAAGTGGAGTATGCAAGCCTGCATACTACAACGGTGCTAGATGACGTTTTAGCACAAACAAATCAAATACAGCACTCACTCTTTCACTCCACCCACCCATATCTATTGCGTTTGTTCTGGATTTCTATTAAAACCAACGTGAGGTTGGTTTGATCTCCACTGTCAAGTTGTTGTGTCCAATGTAACTACCACCATCAAGCAGCATGCCAGTGATAGCATTGTGAAGCACAAATCGATCCATGTGTAAACCAGTTTCCTGGGACACCTGAAAAAAAAACAAATTGATAATTTGTTTTGTTAGCGATTATGCTTGTAACTGAATCCATAAATAGAGTTGATAAGCCCCCAATATTGCCATGAAGTAGAAATCCACAATTTCTAATACTGTAAAATACTTTATTTTTGTTTGGAATTATTTTTCGCTGAAAGAATGATTTAGTGAAAATAAAATCTAGCGAATATACTATTTTCCCTATATTTTACATTCAACTAGTGAAGAATCAGTGAAAATAATTTCCATACAAAACACCCAAAAAGTGAAAATAAAGTATTTTACAGTAGTGAAGGGCCGACCAGGCCAATTTTTAGCATGTGATGATATGGACATTAACACTTGTGTCAAAGGATTCATCCATTCATGCTTTGATTGTCACAATACTGCTGCTGGTTGGAAGATTACAAGATTTAATGAATATCTTTGAATGACAGTAACCCCCCCCCCCTCCCTCCCTCCCATTACTTGAATCCAGTACCTTGTATTTGACAATATGACGCAGCTCACTGATAGTATCAGTTGGTCTCAAGCATGCGACTGTGGCAATATGTCGGCAATTATACTTCAGTTTTACCCGAACTCCTGGAAAATGAGATCAAGCAAGATCACGCATTTTAATAACATACTGCGGATTATGTATTGAAGCATGTGTACATTTGTTTACACATGACTGTAACCCTAAATGGCTCAAAGCATAATCCGTTTACAAAAATAATAGCATACATGTTTATATTTATTTTAAACACTGGACATTATTTCAATTTTATTTTAATTTCAAATTTTTCAATTTCAATTATTTCAAGAGTGCATTGATTTTCCCCTATAAACTATTTTTTTTTTATTCAAATAGCATATTCTTTTTCTATAAAACTTGACCTGCCAGTACTGCATTATTGAACACACTACTGAAGAATACTTTATTTTCGCTTGGAATTTATTTTCACTATTTTTGCTGCAGGGATGATTCAGTGAAAATAAAAACCAGGGAATATACTTTGTTTCCTATATTTCACATTCAACTCATCAAAAATCAGTGAAAATAAATTCCATACAAAACACCCAAAAAGCCTTTTCAGCGTAAATTAATTCCAGTGAAAATAAAGTATTCCACACTATGTAAATATGAAACAACAGATTTTGACAATGCATGACAATATTACCTGGGTAGGCATAATAATTGTTCTGCACAGAATATGTACCAGTTCCTCGTAAGCAACGCTTAGGGAGGTCTTGCCCTACTTGTACTGGAAATGGAACACCAATGCGTAGGCGCATAAAGTTTTTTATCAACTTCGGGTGATACGCAGGTAATCGATCATTATAGATATAGCACTGCTCTGAACCAATGACACTGCTGACATCTCCCGTGACATCTGAAGGTTTGGTCAAGGTCAAGGCACTGGTTTTTATACACTTCACATTTTTTGGCAATCTCAATGTTTCATGCAAACCAGTTGGCTGTGGATAAGATGATTGGATTTCACATGGTGAAGAAGGAATTGCATTCAAATACCCTTGGTTTTGCACATCCAAGTTCACATCTACCGGTACATGTGCAACCGATTTCCTAGCTGTAGCTGACAACACCGGTGAAGTGTTTTTTGAAGCTTGTACAACTTGATGTGATTCAGCCATCTGAAGGCCCCATATCTTGCTGCTAGGTACATTAGTAGTTGCTTCTGTTTTGCCGCTTGCTTGGTTTGTTAATTCAAAAGGTTGATAATCTTTTTCCATGTCTGATGTCTCATCAACATTATCTCTATAGGACTGAAGAGAGTTGCCAAGACATTGTGATTTTATATGTGGACTGTCACTGGCAATTCTTCTGTCCACTGGATGTAACATATTTTTATCACTCCATGGATGCATAAAGTTTGTTATCAACTTTGGGTGATACGCAGGTAACCCAGCACCATGGATATAGCACTGCTCTGAACCAATGACACTGCTGACATCTCCCGTGACATCTGTGCCATGTGAAGGTTTGGTCAAGGTCAAGGCACTGGTTTTCATACACTTCTCAGTTTTTGCCGGTCTTACTGATTCATGCAAACCAGTTGGCTGTGAATAGAATGGCTGGTTGTGATGGGCCATCTGAAGGCCCCCTACCTTGCTAGGTTTTGGTACATTAGTAGTTGCTTCTGTTTTGTCGCTTGCTTGGTTTGTCAATTCAGAAGGTGGATTGTCTTTTAACATGTCTGATGTCTCATCAACATTATCTCTGTTGGACTGGAGAGAGTTGGCAATTCTTCTGTCTACTGAATGCAACATATCACTATAGGAGGGAAATTGCATAGCTATTTTCCTTTTGCTTTTGGCCTTTAGAATGCGAGTTTTGTCTCTGTCAAACGTTTTATCACTCGTTGACAAATAACATGGCATGTTTCCAGCATCAACATCATTTTCAATGGTCTCTTCAACATGCATAGGAAGTTCTTCACCATTTCCAAGTTCAACATTGTCCATCTTATGGTGTGACAACTCAATATGATCGTCACATTCCCTGACCTCGAAACACTTTTGTAAAAAAAAATTACTTTTACGATGCGTGGGTGCTGTCTGTGATAAGGAATCTTGGTCAGCGAGTGGCACAACAACTTTAATACATTCTTTGTTAGTTTTACAATGTTTCAGATCAAACTCATCCATATTCAGATTCTTACCAAGTTTCTTTTCAACATAGTCTACCTTGTCCTGGGACTTCTCTTTTTTCAAAAGAATCTGAGCACTTTGAGTGAAGTCAACTTTAGCAGCACTTGGCTGTTTCTGTAGAGCCACAGTAGAAAAGAACTCATCTGTACTCTTACAAGGTTTGTGCTCAGCAAACTGGGACTTATTCAACAAATTCTTGGATCTTTGAGTCAAGTCAACTTCAGGTGTACACAGCTGTTCCTGGAGAACAGCAACAGTGGACACCTCATTACCAGTCGGAGTAGCCACCGGATGCATTGTTAACCTGCTAAGCTCTGAAAACCCTGTGTCACCAACAATATCTGCATTCCCAGTGGTCTCAGACTGTACAACCTACCGATATAAAGAAAATTAGACTTTTTATTATATTAGACACAAACAAACAAACGAACTGGTTATTTCAATTTGGATAAAAACAAATCAAATACAAAACAACACAACAATCATAATAATATTTTCTATTATTATACATCTGTCACTGTAATGCCATAAGTTACAGCGTGCCTTAATTTTGCGGTATTGCACTAGGTATTTGCATCCTACCATATTAGGAAATGTGAATTCCAAATATGGAATGATTACGAGTGTAAGTGTTCTCTGCTGATAAAAACAAACATGGCAGCCACCAGGTACATGTAACTTCACTACCAGTGTAATACATTCATGCATAGTCATATTATCACTTGACTATGGTACATATCATTCATAGTAGTGATGTTTAGGGGGAATAGCACTAACTGATATTTCACATTAAACAGTTCTTTGTGTGCTTGAACACGATGCAGAGTATTGTGCGATAGTATTATTTTTAACGCTGTGAAATAAGAATTTCAAACTAGATAACAACAATTAATTGCATGGTTCAATGACAAATATGACAAAAAAATAAAAAGTTTATTCTGAAAAAAATATTGTGAAGAAGAGAAATATTGCTGTTCATTTCAAAAACCATATTGAGAGCAGTAGGTACAAATGCATGGTCACCAACAAGCTTAGATCTGATATCACTTTGGATCATGGATTCTGGGTAATACTAACCCATGACGTCGCTCTTATCAAATGATAGCAGGTGATAACCTCATATTACCTACCTGGTCATCAAGTCTTGCACTATATCCATGATTTTTTTCAACCTGTTTTTCTAATTCATTTGAATCAGCTTTCGTCCACTCATCTTTTGGCAGATTGGCATTATCTATTATCTCCAGCTTGGTAGCAATGCTTGGTACATTTTTACACTGTGTGATGATTGCATTTAATTTGCCATTCAGTGCAGCCAGTTCACGTTGTAAGTCAATCAACTCAAGAAAGATTTTTACAACATTATCAGCCCTGTTTCTATCAAGTTGATAATGTGACTGATCACCTTCTTCCTGTTGGTAAGTAGCTTGGTCTCCAGAAGCCATCTCTATTGTTGGTCACACAACACTAAAACAATAACAGGAATAAATATTTTTAAAACATATTTTGGTCATGTTGTATTTCACGCCAGAGTTGCACCTTTATCACTATTAAATATAATTGTAGCTGATCGCGGCTTTTATCTTGCGTAAATCAAAATAGTACTCTCCAAAACTTCATGTATATACTGGTGACTTATGGTAACTTGAAATCAGACACGCGCACTTCTCATTCTATTGTAGGTCCCATGCCTACTATTACACGTAAAAGTAAGCGTAGTCCCTCATTACCAGACGCGTCCATCTTACAAGGTCATGAGTTCAAACTGCGTGAATATTTTTTTAAATATGGTTGCTTCAGTTTTAACAAACGTCCTGCTCATGTGAATCCAGATTGGATTCTTTAACTTAAGTTAGACCTCTGAAACGAACTTGTATCAACTTCATGTTAAACTGAGCGTAGCTTTCATTACATCACCAGCATTCCATGGTTTGTTCCCACGCTTATTTTTAAAAGTGAGCGCACTCAAGCTTTCCATTGTTTGGCTCCACGCTTACTTTTGAAAGTGAGCGTATGCTCAACGCATATCTTCATAAAAACTGAGACGCTCAGTTACCGCACTCAACTACCACATAGAGACCTATTTACATACGTGATTTGGAAAACGTATACTTATTTAGGACTAAAAATAAATTCTTCAGGTAAACTCAGCAAAGCACAGGAAGATCTTGGACACAGAGCAACAAAAGCACTATTCAAAATGAAACAACTATTATACTCAGAAAATAACATCGCAATAAAACTATTTGACAGCATAATCAAACAAGTCCTACTCGATTGCAGTGAAGTATTGGCTAGTGATTGCATACTACAATCCAAAGATCTTCATAACAATATGCTTCCTATGGAGAAGCTACACACCAAATTCTGTAAAGTTAACTGTAAAGCTAGTAATTTAGCATGTCTATTAGAACTTGGTTGGTATCCCCTACTTCTAACGAGCATAAAGCACTTAATAAATTATTGGCTAAAAATTAAAAATTAAAATGAAAATACTCTAGTTCATGAAGCATACCAACTTGGAATGGAGCTTGACAAAAACAATACACCTAACTGCGTAACTGGTGTGAAAAGCAAATTAAAATATGTAAATGAAAACAATGTGTTGGAGAACCAACATCTGCATAATGCAGTTCCAAACATGCGCAGTTCTAAACATATACGCATGCTTGGGCCTCTGCTTCAAAATATCCGCGTAGATGGGTTTGTTCTTATTGCTCTGGTGTTTTGATTTTCACAGGATTTAACCTGTTTTAGTTTGAATAAAGGTAATGTAAGTCGATTGATAGTATTTCTACCGATATCATGCTTGAGTTGTGTGAATTTGGAAAATCATGTTATTTTCGGGAAGTTTCGATGTCATGGTGTCAACGTTTTATTACCTTGTGTTATTAGAGGGCGGGCAAGGGAGGTAGCTGGTACAGTTTTACGGGAAATAAATAGGGCTTTTTACAAATTACAAGGGAAAAAAAAGATGTTTTTACAGTTTACAGTGAAAATTGAATTTTGCAGTGAATTGTGTCATCTAGTCGTTTTACAGTTTCGAAAATGTAATTACCCTGTACTATTCTTTACGGCTTTTTTTATTTGGATGTAAATTCTTGTACGAACCGAGAAAAATAACACATTTTTACAGTGTACGAATAAAATATATGATTGATTACGTTGTAC